GCAAAGCCAGGAGTAACCCCTGAGCATTGCAAAAAGGAGAAGAAGGAAAAAAAAAAAAGGAGGGTGGTGGGTTCTGGTGCCACCTGGTGACTGATCCCCCCTGGGTAGCTGGGCCTGGCCCCTGCCTCCTCCCTCCTCCCCAGGCTGGGTGGAACTGAGCCCCCCGCTGACCAGACTGTCTACCCAGAGTGCTTTATCCTCTGGCCATGCACTGGGGCTCACGCCCGTTTCTCCACCTTCTTCCCAGCAGGGCCTCACACCTGTCCGGCTCCCCCGACCTCCACCCCACCCTGATCCCCCAGGGGCACACCTGGGATAAAGCAATACTAGGGTTGGCATCTCAGACGCTGCCCAGAGAGTGTTTCGCCATATCCTCCCTGTTAGTTGAGTCTGAGGGGGTCAGGTTGGACGGTGCCCCCCACAGGGCGAGGCAGGGCGACCCCTTTGCCTCTCTTCCTTTTCTCTCACCTGAGACCACCTGCCCTCATCATCCCAGACCTTCACCGAGCCGCGATGCCCGCCAGCTAGCGTCCGTGCCGTTCCCATGTGGGGAGCATGTCCACGGCCGGCCGACAGCCTCCTTGGATGTCTCTTGTCTCTGGGCGCTGAAACTCAGTGGCTCGGACCGCAGAGCGAGGGCAGAGATCAAGGCTCCCAACTCGCACGTGGCTGACCCTGTCTGGTTCCGTCGCTGTCCCCACCCGGTCGGTCGTCACCTGAGCCGGGCAGCATCTCTCTCTCTTTCCCTCCCCAGGAAATTCTGGCTCCTTGAATTCTGCGCGTGGCCCCACGGGGAGTCACGTCTCTGAACGAAACGGTGATTGGAGTGATGGGCGGTAGAAGGTTCCTGAATGTGCGGTCACTGGGAGGTGGTCAGTGAGCAGAAGCATGCGGGGGTTTGTGGGAGGGCTCCTATGGGCGGCGTTTCTCGGGTGAGACGTGGTGGTGAGTTTTGGAAGGCCCGGAGAGGGGCTGGTGAGGAGCTGGAGGCCTGGGACTCAGTTTGAGGGGCAAGAAGGTGACAGGGCACTGGTCTGTGGCCCCTGGTCTCAGAGCTCATAAGCATCCCCTTCCTGGTTCTCCTCCACCCTGCACCCGGAGCCCCTGAAGATATGGCATTAGAGGTCTCTGTTTTTGGATTTCCCTTCTGGCTTGTGTGACCACAGGGCCTTTGCATGGAGGCCCCCCGTCCCCGCCCCCAGATGCAGATCTCTCTGCCCCTGCTTTCACTCACTCCCTGTTCCCTCAGGGGCCCCTGGGAACCTTCCCCACCAGTCTCCCTCCCTGCCCTGTGGTTTCATACCTCTCCCTTCCGCTGTGTAGATGGGGGGGGGGGTGGTGGTCGTTTCCTGCTGGAGGAATGCGGGGTGCAGGAGGGAGGGCCAACAGAACCATCCACCCGAGTTGTCCACCTGCTTCTCTCTCGCACTGGCCCCTCAGGGTGCACCAGGGGACACAGCACCTCTTCCACATTTCCTGTGCACCTCGCAGAGCAGGATGTGGCCCGGTGTGTGTGTGTGTGTGTGTGTGTGTGTGTGTGTGTGTGTGTGTTGGTGTGTGTGTGGGTACCTGGTTGCTTGGGGGTGGTGTGTGTGTATGTATGTGCGTGCATGTTGGTGTGGGGGGGAATATTTTGCTACTTGGGGGTAGTGTATGTTTGTGCATGTGTGTGTAAGTGCATGTGTGTGGGGTGCCTGGTTGCTTGGGGGTGGTGTGTATGTGTGTGTGCATGTGTGTGTTGGTGTGTATGGTGCCTGGTTGCTCGGGGATGGTGTGCATCTGTTGGTGTGTGTGTGTGGGTACCTGCTTGCTTTGGGGGTCATGATTCTGTGCTCACTCCTGATGGGGGGTGTGTGTGTGTGTGTATGTGTGTGTGTTGGTGTGTGGGATGCCTTGTTGCTTGGGGGGTGGTATGTGTGTGTGCATGTGTGCGCGTGCGTGTGCCTGTGTGTATGTGTATTGGTGTGTGGGGTGCCTGGTTGCTTAGGGGTGGTGTGTGGGTGTATGTGTGTGCGTGCATGTTGGTGTGTGTGGGTTACCTGGCTACTTAGGGGTAGTGCATGTTTGTGCATGTGTGTGTGAGTGCATGTGTGTGTGTGAGTGCATGTGTGTGTGTGTGTTGGTGTGTGGGGTTCCTGGTTGCTTGGGGCTGGTGTGTATGTGTCTGTACGTGTGTGTGCATGTGTGTGGTGCTTGGTTGCTCGGGGATTGTGTGCGCACGTGTGTGTGTGTGTGTGTGTGCGTGTGTCTGTTGGTGTATGTGTGGGTACTTGGTTGCTTGGGGGTCATGATTGTGTGCTCACTCCTGATGGAGTGTGTGTGTGTGTTGGTGTGTGGGATGCCTTGTTGCTTGGGGGTGGTGTGTATGTGTGCGTGTGTGTGTGGGTGTGAGGGGGGTACCTGGCTGCTCCATCCCCCGTGTGCACTGCTGGGGTCAGGGTCCTGTGTGCTCCCCCTCAGTAGACCCCGACCGCCCGGTACCCACCCTCCCCCCCCTTTCCAACCTGCATTTCTGCCCTCAGGACACAGCACTGGGTCACCGAGTCCCAAACCTACTTGACCCATCACCTTTTTCCAACAAACAAACCCTCCCTGGGAGGGGCCATGGGGAAGGGGTCCTAGGACCCAGGGTGCTGTGGGGGAACTCAGAGACACCTTGCCCGTGAGCCCTGCCCCGGGTTCAGAGATCCCAATTCATCACAGATCCAGCAGGAAGTTCCCACGGCCCCCTGAGCACTCATCCGGGAGTACCCCCTCCATTTAAGCAGGACACCCAGAAATGTTTTTCTGGGGAGCACACCCATTAGTTGCTTATGTCTTTCTTGTGATTCTGTGTTCACTCCTGATGGTGCTCAGGGTGTCTGGGGTTGAACCGGGGTCAGCCGTATGCATGGCCTTATTCCCAGTACTAGCTCTCTGATCCCAAAATGTGTTTTCATTTTTATTTATTTATTTATTTTTGCTTTTTCTTTTTGGGTCACAGCTGGTGATGCTCAGGGGTTCCTCCTGGCTCTGCACTCAGGAATGACTCCTGGCGGTGCTCTGGAGACCATATATGGGATGCTGGGAATCGAACCCGGGTTGGCCTGGTGCAAGGCATATGCCCTCCCTGCTGTGCTCTCTCCCCAGCCCCTGTTCTCAGTTTTTAAATACTAGGTTTGGGGGCCAGGAGATAAGTCATAGGCTGGTTCCCTATAAACGGGGTACATCTTCCCCACCACCAAAAAAAGAGAAAACAAATCATGCCCTCAGCTCAGCCCATACACGGTAACTTCCGCCAGCAACTCCGACTTCTCCTCCCTTCAAAACATTTCCACAGAAGACCAGTGTCCACAGGAGTTTTAAACTTTATTTATGTATAAACAATTTAAACACTTTGCCATAAATTATCTTTGCCTGCCCCTAGTCTTTGCTTAGCAGCAAATTAAAATTAATATAAAAACTCGATGAACAATTCATACATGTATATTACAAAAAAGTTCCTGTACCAAAGTTCTTATTAGACATTTTTTTGTGTGTGTGTGTGTTTTTTTTTCTTTTAAAATGTTTTTTTTTGTTTGTTTTTATGGTGTTTTTTTTTTCCTTTTTCTTTTTTATGCGGTTTTTTTTTCCTTTTGACTTTTTAAAACTTTTTCTTCTCCTCCTCCTGGTGATCATCATGTGATTGTCTCAGTTTCTGGACCAAACAAACACACTAATAATTTTTTTTTTTAAATCTGCAACAGTGATTGTGCCTTGAGGCTTATATATGTACAGGGTGAATTGGTGCCCGTTATCGAAAGAGGGTCACGATGCCACAGCTCTACTGTAACTGATTACCCACAAACTACATTATCTAGACGGACTACACCCTGTCTGACTGTCCACAATGGAGTCTTCAACGACAAAAGAGAATGAACTGCATCTGGAGTGATTAGAGCCACTTTTTTTTTTTTTTTGAATTCCATAGTATGTTCTACTGCCCCACAAAAAAAAAATCAGCTCCGGGCCGATGCAGGGGAAATCCTGCAGATTAAGTGCTCAACGGGTTTAGGGGCTTGCCCTTTGATTTTTTTTCCCCCCTTAGTTGGCAGGGGGGAAAAAATCTTTTTTTCTTTTTTCTCTCCCCTGGTGTTATTCTTCTATTTTTTTTGTTTTTGTTTTTCCTTGAAAAAAGAATTTCCAGTGTGCATTGTATCACTCTCACATACCCTCCCACCCCACAGTCAGCTACACACAAATCACCCCCCCCAAAGTCGTGTTTTTTGTTTTTTTGTTTTTTTTTTGTTTTTTTTTAAATGCACCTGTATCGGTTGAAACAACAACAAAAAAACCCCAAACGTCTAAGGTAGGAGTCCGGCCAGCCGTTGTGGGGGGGTGTGTGTGTGGGGGGTGGTGGTGGGGGAGATTCTCGTAGTGCTGTTGCGGCTAGGCTGGAACCCGGCCCCCCAGGGGATTTTGAGGGGGTGGGGTGGGGGGGGTCTCTGCCGCTGGTGTTGGACTGGGCGAGGTATTGAACAGCAGGAGGCTTCCGTCTTTGTTCTGCGGTTGCTGTGCGTGTTTCATTAGTTTGCTTTTATTTTTAATCCCCCCATGGGTGCGACCCCCGCCCTCCACCGCCCCCATCATTCTGGTGTACGCGTGTTGGATGCACGCACGCGTGTGTGTGCCTGTGTGTTCTTCTGGACACGGGATTGCTTCTTCTCCGCATGAGAACCAGAGCAGGTGAGCCGAGTGCGTGCGTGCGTGTGTGTGTGTGTGTGTGTGTGTGTGTGTGTACATGTGTACTGGTGGTGGGGGGGACCCTCAGCTTGGCGTCTGGTGCCATTCATTCTTCCGTTTGGGTTTTCCTGGGGGAATTTTTGTGTTTTTTGTATTTTTTTTTCCTTTTTTCCAGCCGGGATTTCTTTTTGTTTCTCGTTGGTTCTTGGAAGAAGGTTGGTTGGTTGGTTGGTTGGTTGTCGTGGTTTTTGTTTTCTTTTGTCTTGTCTTTTTTTTTGTTTTCTTCGAAGTCGGCTTCAGAAGGCGGGAAGGTGTGGTGGGCGGGCGGGCACGGGAACTCAGAAAATGTGAGCTTGCCTTGCCCCCGGTGCCCCTCGCGGCCCCTCTCGGCTCGGTTTTCCTGGTAGGGTCCTCATCTCCTTAGGAGAGCACAGTTTTACTCCGGCCCGGCCACCCGGGTGAGGGATGGCAGGAGACCCACGCCGTTACCTCTTGCCCATCTCGTTCTGTCTTAGGAACTGGATGTTACTGCTGCTGTCGGCCAGCTCCGGGTACTGCTCCACGGGCAGCACGTAGTAGCCCTCGTACCCCTGCACCCGGCCCGTGCCCAGCAGCTGCTGCCGCTCGCCCTCCGTCCAGAGGCGGCTGCCCTCGCGCCCGTCCCTGGCTCGCTGCTGCTCCTTCAGCCAGGCGGTGCCCAGGGCCCGCTGCCGGGCCTGGTCCAGCACGCGGGCCTTCTCTTCGTCCAGGGTGTCCGGGGTGAGGCCGTAGCGCAGGCTCAGCAGCAGCGTGGCGTGCTGGAACTCGATGTGGGTGAACCTTCGAGTCCTGCCGTTGACCAGCAGGGTGGGCTGGGACACGGTCACGTTCACCCCGCCCTCCAGCACCTTGCGGCCGATGGTGGTGCCCAGCGTGAGCAGGTCGGCGTCGGCCGAGCCCACCTTGACGAAGTAGTGGGTGTCCCGGCCCTCGATGCTGTAGTGCATGCGCTCCAGGTAGTAGGCGTTGTTGAGCACCGACGCCACCTTGCGGCTGTCCTCGCTGGCCACGCTCGACACGCCCGTGCTCACCCGGCCGTCCTTGATGGCGAACATGATGCCCTTGCCGATGATGGGCGTGGTGGTGGCGAACCAGTGGCCGGCCTTCTCGCGGACGCTGGCGTGCAGCCGCTTGGTCAGCACCTGGCCCTCCAGCGCCAGGAAGGCCTGGTTGTGCCGCGCCGTGGTCTGCTGGATGCCCGTGATGAGCTGCGGGGGGCAGGGGGGGGACACGCAGAGAGAGAGTTCAGCGCAGGGGATGGGCAGTGGGGGTGTGGGGGAGGGGGTGTGCCCACAGGACGTGCCCAGGATCCTCACGACTCGCAGGGCGGTGACTCCTGATCCCCGTGTGTGTGTGTGTGTGTGTGTGTAGGGCATTACCTCCTGGTTTCGTGTGTGTGTGTGTGTGTGCAGGGTGTTAACTCCTGGTTCCTGTGTGTGTGTGTGTAGGGCGTGTAGGGTGCTTATTCCTGGGTCCCCTGTGTGTGTGAACTCGGAGGACTGGACGGTTTCTGGTGTGGCTGGTCTTCCTGGCATGGGGCCCCTCCTCAAATGTCCTCATGGCATCCGATCACCCTGCCTGGCCGCGCGCTGAGTCAGGTTGGCGCAAATCCCTCTGGGCATTGCTCAGGAGACTGAGGGACTGACTCTAACCCTCGGGGTTGGGGTGTTCGCCTTCCCCCTTTTCTCTGGGATGGTCTCAGAGACCAGTGTCCCCTGGGCGAAGGGAGGTCAGCGTCCCCTGTGCCCAGACCTTACAGTCAGACACTTTGGGTTTCTCTCCTGGGCCACACCTGGCAGTGCTCGGGGCTGACTCCTGGCTCTGCACTCAGGGATCCCTCCGGGCAAAGCTCGGGAGACCCAAGGGGGGTGTTGGGGATCGAACCCAAGTCGGTTGTGTGCCCAGTGGAGTTTGGAGGTGGGAGGGACAGGATCCCCATCATCTCTTGGGCCTGGGCTCACACACTTGCCAGGTTTTGGTGGCATTGGGGACAGGGGGTTGGGCAGGATGGTGGGGGAGGGTGAGTCTGGTGCTTGTTTTCCTTTTCGGGGGGACAGGGATGGTACCCAGGTGGGCTGTGTGTAAGGCGCTACCCATTGTACCATCTCTTTGGCCCCTGGGTCTGGCCCTTTGACTGAGGAGGGACACAGTGGCCTTGCTGCCTTTACATGGTCTCAGTGGCTGTCTCTTCTCACCTCTCTGAGCCAGATTCTTGGCACCTCGCTGTCCGAGGGTCCCAGGGGTATGGGTGTGGGTTGTTCAGAGCACGAACCTCCGCACGGCCTTGCCCACGATACACATCGTCCATGGTCTCAGCCATGCTCTGCTTGAAATGGAGTCTCCCACCCCCCTCCCCCTGCCTTTGAGGAACTTTGATGGTCACTGCAAGACCTCACTCAGCCCAGATTTGGGGGCTACACCCGGTGATGCTCGGGGCTTCCTCCTGGCTCTGCACTCAGGGATCACTCCTGGCGGGGCTCAGGGCACTCATGGGGTGCCGGGAATTGCACTTGGGTCGGCCGCCTGCTCTACTCTGGCTCCTGTCTGGGGCTCTGTGATGGCCAAGGGGGCAGGTTTGGGGCCCGTGGCCACCAGGCCCGCACTCACCTGCCCGTCCTCGCTGGCCTGGCTCTCCGACAGCTCGTAGGGGGGAGGCACGAAGTACATTTTGGCTCTCGGGAAACCGGGGATGATGTTGCTCAGTTGAAACCCAAACATCACCAACCAGCTTTTCACATCTGTGGGGGAAACCGAAACAGAGATTTAATTATTGATTGATTTATTTTTTTTTGGAGGGGTGTGTGCGGGTTGTGTTCTGGGCTTCGTTCTGGTATGGTGCTCAGGGGTCACTCCTGGCAGTGCTCAGGGGACATTAAACCTTGCAGGGAATGGAGCCGAGGTCAGTTTTGTGCCGGGTGCACCCCTGTCCTGCTGTTCTATCTGTCCAGCCTCCAGAACACATTTCTGAGTGGGGTGGGGCAGGAGGGGAGGTTCAGGTTGCGGCCTGCCCGGCAGGATTCTGTGTGGACTCATTGTCCCTCGGGAAGGCATTGGTGCCTTGCAGGCAGCTTTTCTGGGGTGCTATGATCCGACAGAGACCCTTTCCCAGGGCACTGGGGGCTCTTGGTAGGGGTGGAGGTGTGAGGGGTCTTCCCGGCAGTGCTCGGGCACTAGAATCGCTCCAGCCACTTCTTAGGACTGGCAGGGCTGGGAACTGAGCTTGGCATCTTGTGTGTACCCTGTGTGTGGTCCAACCTTTGGCACCACTGACTTGACCTGGAGGTGCTCAAGGCTGACTCTTGGCTCTGTGCTCAGAGATCACTCCTTGGGTGACCGTCTGGAGGTGCTGGGGATTGAATCCAGGGTAGCTCCAAGCAAGGTAGGTGCCCGGCCCTCTGAGCTGATCGCTCCAGCCCTTGACGCTTCTGTCACTGTGGCTAAGAGTTGTGGATGTCCTGGAGGTTGGGGTCCCCCAGTGGACTCAGAGGTCCCCCCACGGTTACTCCTTGGCAAGCACCTTTGGGAGAGACAGCTCTAGAACCTGACGGAAGTTGGTCTCTGCCCTTGTTTCACACAGTGAGCAACCCAACGCACGCACGTATGTGTGCATGTATGCGTGCACACACTGAGCAGGAGGGCAGGACATGCTGTAGGTGCTCTGTGTGTGGGGGAAAAGAGACTTGTTTGCTGAAAGAAGGTTGATTTCCACGGGAGCCCTGAGTAATATTTTTTTTCCCCAATAAAACTTAAGTAGGCCATTTAAGTTTAGGAACTTTTGGTTTTGACTCACCTTAAGCTACCCATGTACATCTCATGACCCACCCATTCCTCCATCACTCTACCCATTCATATATCCATCCCTCCATCCATTCATCCCTCTCGTCCACCCATCTATTCATTCCTCCCTCCACTTATCTTTCCATCCATTTACCCACTCATCTACCCACCCATTTTTCTGTCCCTCCTATCATTTATACACCCACCCATCCACCTATCCCTCCATCCTCATCCATACACCCACCCACACATCCATCCACCTATCCCTTCCTCTCTCCATGCTCTCCTCTCTCCATCCTCTCTCCACCTATCCCTCCATCTACCCACCCACTATCTATCCCTCCCATCACCCATGCACTCAACAACTCACCTATCCTTCCATCCCTCCCTCACTCCCTCCACCCACACATCCATCCATTCATCCATCCATGGAGCCGAGGTCAGCTTTGTGCCGGGTGCACGCCTGTCCTGCTGTTCTATCTGTCCAGCCTCCAGAACACAGTCCATCTACCTATCCATCCACCCACCCATCCATGTATCCATGTATCCATCCATTCATCCATGCACCCACCCACCCACCCATCATGTGTCTATCTGTCCATCCCTCTTAACTCCTGAGGACAGGAACTCTATCTTCTCCTACACCCCCACGTCTTCCGTATCCAACTGAGGTGAGCTGCTATGAAAGTGGACGGCCGGGTGGGTGGGTGTGCAGAGATGCCCTCTGTGTGTCGGGGACCCTCATTCCTCCAATTTCTCCTTCACAATGCTGAAGTCGCCTCTCGGGCCTCCTCGGTCCCTCTCTCCATCCCTTCCCAAGCCACCGTCCTGACATTTCCCCCATAGACTATCGAGTCCCTTTCATCCCTCAGGCCCCTTCTGTCCTAAGTCACTGTGAGGTCCTCCAGGTGCTTACATGTGTCCCTCGGAGAAAAGGGCCTTTGTCCTGTTTTCCTGGCATGATGCCACTCTATAGATCATGGTTGGGTTTTATTTTTTTTCTTTTTGGGTCACCTGGCGATGCACAGGGGCTACTCCCGGCTCATGCACTCAGGAATGACTCCTGGCGGTGCTCGGGGGACCCTAGGGGATGCTGGGAATTGAACCCGGGTCAGCCACGTGCAAGACAAATGCCCTGGGGCCAGGGAGATGGCCCAGGGATACAGCACTTGGATCGCATGTGCAAGGTCCTGAGTTTGACACCTGGCATCCCATGAAGTCCCCCCCTACCCCCCGGAGCACCGCGAGAAGTGACCCCTGAGTGCAGCAGAGCCAGATGGACTTAACAAATCATCAGCTTGTCTCAAGGCCCATAAATGGGCGCCTGCTGCATCATGCCATCCAGTGAGGCTCCAGGGGGAGGGGGGTGGGACCAGCTGCTCCCCACCCCCAACGCCTCCTGCAAGACTCCAGGCCCGACGGCCCCGTGATGCCAGGACACTCACCGGTCACGTAGTTCTTCAGGTCCAGCTCATTGCTCAGGGGGTTGTTACTCTTGAACATGTACAGGTTGAAGGGGGCCGGCTCCTTGCCCACGTTCTTCCACATGGTGTAGTCGGGGGAGGTCCAGCGGCCGGCCAGAACGTCGTAGTCGCGCTGCGTGAAGTGCACCAGCTTGGTGAGGGGATCGTAGAGGCCGCCGTGGAAGCCGATGACCATCTGGAAGTCGGGGTTGGAGTCGTAGTAGATCTCACCGTAGGCCGTGTACTGCAGCTGCTTGGTCATGAGGCCGTTGATGCTGAAGACGGCCAGCGGGGTGCCCGTGTTGTCGGAGGCCACGTAGTACTCCTCGCCGCTGCTGCTCTCCATGGCGAAGAGGTGGCCCTGCAGGTCGTAGTAGAGCGAGGTGATCTCCGAGTTGGAGTGGTTGTAGACGTGGGTGACGCGGGTCGGGTGGTGCAGGTCGGAGTAGAAGTACTGCAGGTGGTGGCCCAGGTTGGTCTTGGAGGCGGCCCGGCGGCCCACGCCGTCGTAGCGGTACTGGGCGCTCCAGCCGCCCGCCTTGTTGTAGGCGCGCGTCAGCAGCCCCTTGGAGTTGTACTCGAAGACGTCGGCACCCCGCTGGCACAGGAAGCCGTCGTCGTCCACCTTGTAGGGCACGTCGCCCAGCCGCGTGATGCGGTCCCGGAGGTCGTAGCGCAGCGGGGTGAGGCGCACGCTGTTGCCGGCGTTGAGCAGGTGCAGGTTGCCGTTGAGGTCGTAGCTGTAGCGCCAGGTGGGCCGGTCGTTGACGGCCACGCTCTGGAGCTGCCCGTCGGCGTCGTAGTCGTAGGTGTACTTGGTGGTGTTGGCGTAGGGCCCCAGCTTGAGCTCGCGCTTGACCACGCGGCCCAGGCTGTCGTACTGCACCGTCATCCAGTACATGAGTGAGCGGAACATCTCGTACTGCACCTCCTTGATGCGCCCGTGCGTGTCGAAGTGCTTGCTCAGCGTCATCACCGCCGTGGTGATGATCTGGTTGATGTCGTAGTAGATGACGCCGAACTTGCCGAAGTGCTCCACCTTGCCCGAGATCTCGTCGTAGCGGTACAGGTCCACGGGCAGCGGCGTCTCGCTGATGACCGGCTTGACGCTGGCGATGCGGAAGCTGTTGCCGTGGTAGGTGTAGTCGAAGCGGGCGTTGACCATGCCCTCCTCGGAGAAGCGGTAGATCTGCTTGTCCACCAGCGGGCCCACCTTGCGGTAGCGGATGGTGCAGGAGAAGCCGCCGCTCTGCAGGCTGACCATCTTGAGCACGCCCGTGGCCTCGTCGTAGCCGAAGGTGACGGCCGTGCTGTCGTACACCATCTCCGACAGCTTGGACAGCTTGCCGTACTTGTAGAACACCTGGCGGCCCGTGCCCAGGAAGGACGTCTTCAGGATGCGCCCGTCGTCGCTGTAGTCGAAGATGACCGAGGCGTTGCTCTCGGGCGGGTTGTAGATGTTGCGGATGTAGCCGATGGACGTGTGCGTGGACATGCTGTGGCGGGCCACGCTGGGCATGGTCACGGCCAGCAGGCGGTCGGACGCATCGTACTCGAAGATGTACTGGCGTTGGCTTTGCAGCAGCAGGACCATGGACTGGAGCGGGGAGGGGGCAGAGATGAGAATGAGGGTGAGGGTGGACTGGTTTGGAGGACGCCTGGGGGAGCCCAACTCCCCTCAGCAACCCAGAGGGCGTGGCAGAGACAGGGAATGCCCCTTCCCCCCCACCCCAGCCTTCAGTGGTGATGTCTGGAGCTGAGCTGTGTAGACGGCAGCTGGCAGTGTAGACCACAGCTCACAGCTCCAGGGTGAGGTGGCCATGGCCACAACCACAGGCTTCTGCACCTGCCTGGCTCACACTGGGTTGCCCTTTGCCTCCAGGTCCTTGAGCAGCTGTGACAACCCTCCCCCCACCCTATGCTGCCATGTTTCAGCCACAACCCCACCCCCTGCCACCATGCATTGAGTCCACCTGAGAAAGGTTCTTTTTTTTTTTTTTTCTTTTTGGGTCATACCCAGCGATGCACAGGGGTAACTCCTGGCCCATGCACTCAGGAATCACTCCTGGCGGTGCTCAGGGGACCCTATGGGATGCTGGGGATTGAACCCGGGTCAGCTGCGTGCAAGGCAAACGCCCTCCCCGCTGTGCTATCACTCCAGCCCCAGTTCTTAATATTTACTTATTTATTGACTGGGTCCCACCCAGCGATGCCCAGGGCTGACTCCTGGCTCTGTGCTCAAGGGATCACTCCTGGCAGGGCCCCGGGGGAGCCTATAGGGGTGTCGGGAATCGAGCTGGGGTCTACTGAGTGCAAGGCCTGCACCTACCCCACTGGGCTATCACTCCAGCCCATGTTCTTAATTTTGAAAATTTTATTATTGGGGCTGGAGCTATAGTGTAGTGGGGAGGGCGTTTGCCTTGCATGCGCCCCACCTGGGTTCGATTCCCAATATCCCATAGGGTTCCCCGAGCACCGCCAGGAGTCATTCCTGAGTGCATGAGCCAGGAGTCATATCTAAAAAAAGACAGCAAGCAGATGAGGTGTAATGTTTGAATATTAACTGTAATCAAATATTGTGATAAACAGCACTGTAGCACTGTCTTCCCGTTGTTCATCGATTTGCTCAAGCGGGCCCAGCAGTAACGTCTCCATTTTTTGAGACTTGTGTTTGGCTTATTGAATTCATCACAGAGAGTTTGCCAGGCTTTGCCATGCGGGTGAGATACTCTTGGTAGCTTGCTGGGCTCTCCGAGAGGGGCGGAGATATCGAACCCAGTTTGGCCGGGCTGGCTGCATGCAAGGCAAACGCCCAACTGCTGTGCTATCGCTCCAGCCCATTGTGATAAATATAAAATAAAAAAAAATAAAAAAAATTTATTATTAAATACGGCAGGGGGCAGAGGGGACGTGTCTGGGGACAGAAGGCAGGTGGAGAGGGCAGAGGGCAGGTGTTTGTGGAAGGGACAGGGGGAAGAGAGCAGGGGGTAGGGGAGAGGTTGGGGGCAGAGGGCAGAGGGCAGGGGTCAGGGCCAGGCACCCACCTTGTCCAGATAGGAGTAGCTCCACACCTTCCCGTCGGCGAACATACGAGACACGATGCGTCCCTGCTTGTCGATGTCAGTTCTCTCGCTCATGGCACCGCGCTGCAGGCCGGCCAGGCGCCCATTGAAGAAGTAGGAGACATTGACGGCGGCCAGCCCACTACTGGGCAGCCACAGGAAGGGCCGGCCCGCCTGGTCGTAGATGATCCGCAGCGTGAACTTGCGGTGGTCATCGTAGATCTTCTCGGTGCGGATGTTCCGGTCGTAGTCGATGGACAAGAGGTTCCGCCCGTGGACCTAGACACACAGACAGACACAGGGGGAGCCTGGTTGGTTTCACCCACCTCTGACACCCAGCAACGCGTTTGGCGGGGGTGCCTGGGATGGGGGTCCTGGGGGGGATGACTTGGAAATTCCTGAGGGTTGAGTCCCCTTACGGGGGACGGAGCCAATGTCCAGCGGGGAGGGCCTTTGCTCGGCCTATGGCCAGCTTGGGTTCGGTCCCTGGCCCCCCCTGAAGCCCTCCCCAGGAGTGGCCCCTGAGCGCAGAGCCAGGAGTCAGCCCCGAGCATGACCAGTGTGGGCCCCCCAAAACCAAGCCCCCCATACCCTTCCTTTGCATCACACCGTACTGTGAACAGGGCTATGCCCTCCCTACTGGACTATACATCCCACTCTGTGATTTCTTCCCTCAGATGCAGCAAGGAGAGTTGACAAAAAGAGCATATGTTTGTGATTTTGTTTTTAAATAAATCAACTCTACTTGCTGCATCATTTCCCCCCCCCCCCGAAATGATACTACTGCATGATTTTTTATTTGCATGCTTACGTGTGTGTGTGTGTGTGTGTATGTGTCCACATGCTGCATCTAGTGAAATCATTAGATTCTTCTGAGGAGGGGAGCACACTGCCTGTGCTCAGGGCTTCCTCCTGGCTCTGTGCTCAGGAGCCCCACGTGGTAATTGGACTAAACCCAGGTCGGCTGTGTCCCAGGCCAGTGCTCTCCCTCCCTGCTCTACTCTCTCTCCAGTTCTGTGAGACAATTCTTCTCTTTGCCACAGCCAGTGATGCTCAGGGCTGAGTCCTGGCTCTACACTCAGGGGTCACTCCTGGCGGTGCTCGGGGGGTCCCCCATGCGGTGGCATGGATTAAACTCAGGTTGGTTGCATGCAAGGCAAACATCCTCCCCACTGTGCTATCATTCCAGCCCCCAAAGGGCTTCTTTAGATTTGATTTGTCCATTTTCTTAGTTATTATTTTTTGTCGGGGAGGGGGAAGGCCACAGCCGGCCTTGCTCAAGGCTTCCTCCTAGCTCTGCCCTGAGCCATCACTCCCGGCTGTGCTCAGGGGACCCTATGGGATGTGGAGGATCTAACTCAGGTCAGCTGCATCCAAGGAAAGTGCATTTCCTGCTGTACTATCACTCTGGTCCCTTATTATTTTTATTTTAAAATTATTATATATGCCAACGGGAGGGCCTTTACCTTTTATATGTGCCAAGTGATAGCACAGTGGGGAAGGCGTTGTTGACCTTGCATGCGGCCCATCCAGGTTTGATCCTAGAGGGTCCTTGAGCATCGCCAGGAATGATTCCTGAGTGCAGAGCCTGGAGTGACCCCTGAGCATCAATACATTGAGGCTTGAGGGACAGTATGCAGAGCTGGGGATTGAACCCTGATTGAATACAAGGCAAGGATTCTACCCAGTGTATGATCTCGCTGTATGTTTATTATATATAAATATATATTTTAAGCAAGATATATATATTATACATACTATATATGTATTTTTTTAAGCAAGATATTTTTTTTTTAATTTGGGTCACACCTGGAGCCAGGAATCACTCCTGGTGGTGCTTGGGGGCCCCTATGGGATGCTGGGAATTGAACCCGGGTCGGCCATGTGCAAGGCAAGCACCCTACTTGCTGTACTATCACTCCGGCCCTGATAGATTTCTTTTTCTTTTTTTTTGTTTTTGCTTTCTTGTAGATATTGGGTCCACACCCAGCTGTGCTCAGGGCTGACTCCTGGCGGGGCTCAAGGATCCCTATAGGATGCCGGGGATCGAATCCAGGCTGGCCACATGCAAGGTAAGTTCCTTCCCCTCCGTACTATCTGTCCGGCTCCACGATAGATTCTATTGAAAAAAATTTACTTGGAAAGACATGCAGAGGGAGGGAGAGGGAGGAACAGGTATGCGAGAGAGAACCCCGGACTCCTCCAGAGGAAAGGACCAGCAGGAAGAGAGACAGGGGAGAGGGCTGGATGGAACACCACAACCGCCCTGGGGCTCAGCACACGACTCTCTCTGGGGGTCCCATTAACTTTCCCCTGCCACTGTTCCCACGCCATCGCACCCCCAAGCCGCACCCTATCCCCCCGTGTCAGCACCGTGGTGTTCGCTGGGTCCAGGAGTGGGTTTTGCACTTTGCTTTTCTAATTCCCATCTCGAAGTCACATCAGCTGGTGTTTGCAGCTGCCTGTCCCTGTTCAGTGTCATCCTGTTCGGTCCCATCGACGCTGACGCCAGATGGGTTCTTGTACAGATATATAATGTAGAGTTCTTTTTTATTTATTTTTTGCTTTTTGGGTCACACCCGGCGATGCTCAGGGGTTCCTCCTGGTTCTGCACTCAGGAATGACTCCTGGCGGTGCTCAGGGGGACCCTAGGGGATGCTGGGAATCGAACCCGGGTCGGCCGCGTGCAAGGCAAATGCCCTCCCCGCTGTGCTATCACTCCAGCCCCTCTTCTTTCTTTTTATAGCTGGGTACTGTTCAACTTTGCAAGCCCCCTGTTCTCTGTACTGAATCTTCTCTCTGGACACGTATGCTGTATCCTATTGTCAATGGGGTGTACATATGGCTTCTTGGATTTGGACAGATATTGAGTAGTGGACGGGTTGGATTATAGGGGAGGTCCACTTGTGTATGTGTGTTTGTGTATGTTCCTGGGAATGTGAGTATATGAATGTATGTGTGTGGGCTTTGGTCAAGTGGGAGTTTATGTGTGAGAATAGAGTGTGAGAGTATGTGTGTGTGCATGTCTCTGTGTTTGTGTGCCTGAATGTGTGTGTGTGTGTGTGTGTGTGTGTAGTTTGGTCAAGTGTGAGTTTAGGTTTAAGAATAAAGTTTGAGAGAGTGTGTGTGCATGTGTGTGTGTTTGTGTGCGTGTACGTGTGTGTAGTTTGGTCAAGTGTGAGTTTAGGTTTAAGAATAAAGTTTGACAATGAATATAATCAAAGCACATAGAGTGTTAACTAGAATTCATCTGCCTCACAGGGACGGGGAGGGGTGGGGGGTGGGGTTTTATTGGGGTTCTTCATGGTAAAAAATAAGTATTGGTAAAGGGAAATGTGTTTGATATTTGCATGACTGAGACATAAACCTGAAAGCTTTGTAACCTTTCCCACAGTGATTCAATAAATAAATAAAAAAAAAAAAAAAGAAAAAGAATAAAGTTTGAGAATGTGTGTGTGCATGTGTGTGTGTTTGTAGGGGTGTGTGTGGGGGACAGAGAGAGAGGAAGGGCAAAGGAGGAAGGGAGAGAGAGAGGGAGAGAAGAGAGTGAAACACACTCCAGAGAGAACGTGGGCTTAGTGCCAGGTTGTGGAGCCACAAAATCACGCCTGGCAGGAGAACCTATTGGGGTGCTCATGCACACACACATTCACACAGAGGTTATCACACTCCTCTCCCATCCCCCCTAGAGATTTCCACGGGAGCATACCTCCATAGCAGGTTTTCCTCAAGTGTGAGTGTGTGTGAGTGCATGTGAGTGAGAGCGTGTGGTTCCCTAGAGGTGGGAGAAAAAGCCCTGAGAGTGGGACTCAGAGGAAAGTGCTCCCTGCAGAGCATCAAGTTTGCTATTCCTCGAGGGGCAAAACTGCATCCAGCATCTTCCTGTCTCACTCACTCACGCCAGAACCTCCCATGTTCCCTTCTGAAATGCAGCAATCCCTAAAAAGCATTAATCAGATGTGACACCATCCCCAGAATCAGCGCCCAGCACTTGGGGCAGATTATTTACCAGGATGGGGGTGTAAGGGGGGCGGTGGTGTCTGGGTGGGGGTGTCAGTACACATGGGGGGGTCCTGGCTCTTTGTGGGTGCCGTCTCCCCTTCCCCCTCTTTTGGGAGTACCCTCCCTCACTCTGAATTAAATGACCTGTCTGACAATATTTACATGAACCTCGAGCCTTCCACCCAATTCCCTTCCCAGCCCGCACGGCAGGTAGGCAGTTAAAGAGAGAAACCCGGGTTTTCAATGAAGACAGTTCTGTGTCGGCGAGGAAGCCGTGGTTTTTCATGATCGGATGCTTTCCTCAGTCTGGCCTCCCCACTCATACAGACACAGTTCCTCGGCCAGATTTGAACTTCCGGGGGGTTTGCATGAACCTCCCAAATGTTTCTGAGCTCACCAAGCCCTGGGCTGTCAGGAGGAAACTCCTGAAAAATTCTGGGAGGAGAGGTCAGTGGGCTGAGTGCAAGTTTTGCCTGCCAGAGGCCCGGGTTTGAGTCCTGCCATGGTGTGCAGCCTCTGGCACAGAGGTGGGAAGGGCCCCTGAGCACCTTTGGGTATGGCACCCCCAAAGCAAAATGGGGAGAGGCTGGGGGGTGTGCTAGGACAGCAGCTGATTTCCACCTCTGTGACCCTAGAAGGTCCCCGGAGCACTGCCAAGAGAGATTCCTGAGCACAGAGCCAGGAGTAAGCCCTGATCCTCGCTGGGTGTGACCCCAAGCAAACAAACAAAAGACCCCAAAGGAAATAGAGGCTGGGATGTCTAACTGAAGTCACGAGAGGGGTCAGTAGAAGTGCCCATCTTGGGGGGGGACCCCAGAGAATATATAATTATATATATACACACATATATATATATATATATATAATTCAGTCTGGACTCAGCTGGGGTCCCCATTGGCCCGAGCCCTCTCTCAGCGGCTGCACTTCCCGATGGGGTCAGTGTTCCCTGGTGCCCCAGCCCAGGCTCACTGTCACACTGGGATGGGTTCAGGTACCAACAACAGAAGTCACGGATTTTCATAGCTGCTTCAATAAGGTACCATTAGGGTAAATCTCTGTAAACATATTAAATAATGTATCCCCGCCTCCAAGCAAACATCACTTTTTTTTCTTTTTGGGTCACACCTGGCAATGCACAGGGGTTACTCCTGGCTCATGCACTCAGGAATTACTCCTGGGGGGACGCTATGGGATGCTGGGAATCGAACCCGGGTCGGCCGCATGCAAGGCAAACGCCCTACTCAGTGTACTATTGCTCCAACCCCACAAACATCACT